CACACACATATATATATATATATATATATATATATATATATATATATATATATATATATATATATATAATCTAAAAAAAAAAAACAGGCCCTTAATGTTAATAATATTATTATAAATTACTAGGTTAGTTGCGTATCCTTTACAGGACGTTGCAGAAACAACCCCAGCAGCCCCTGGCTGTTGTGTGGTTTCTCTAGGCAAATTTTACGTCCAGTAGTTTGCTACTCCCTGAACGGTGGGCTCCCTGATACCACTGTCGAAACCAACGCAAGCTTAAGTGCAAGGCGGGCCCGCAGCTGGGATCAAACCAGGAATTACGAAGCGTTGGCATCGACTTAGCCCCAGGCCAGACAAACAGTAAATTATTGTTCAACAAAATACATTTTAAAACTAATTATTTCTTGTTATTTTATGAAGCAGGGCGCAACTAGTTACGTACAAGCACTGGGGCGGGGTTCATGTGCGATGTGTTGTAACGAATAAACTACAGACAAGTGTATAATTAACACCTGGAAATTATTGAAAGACCGTTGTATTGGTAGGTAAACTCGTAAAACGACTAGTATGCTACAACAAGGAAGGGAAGTAAACAACAAGTATGTGTCTATTTATCCTAAATGCAACCAATAACATTATACATTTTCACAGAAACAAACGCGATTTACCTGCACCGTCAGTAATGTGTGCTCTGCGTTTTCAGAAGGGCCGCCGCTGTGTCACTGCTCCAGGCAGCCAGATGCTGAGTCGGGGATTCTCAAACTTTAAATTTCAAGTTGTGATACTCAACTTCGTTTTGCCCGGCTCGCTAGCGTAGTTGGTTAAAACCCTCAGCGCGGCGACAAACTCTTTGTGGTCCGGGTTCACGGCGGGGGGTAGACAGAAAAGCCACATTTCTCTCAGATTTACGGTATTTATCATGAAATCAAGGCCGAAGGGTTGTGATATCCATAGTAAGTAAGTAAAGTTCCCTTTTCACGCCTTTCGGCGCATCGGGCATATGGGCAGAGCGTCCCATATTTTACAGACCATCAGCACTCTGTGGGTAATGTGGTCAGCATTACGCCGGCTGTCTTTACTTTCCCAGGACAGCCCATCCTGGTACCCATTTTAGGCTGGGTCGACCTGCGACATCCCATACCACGATTTTTTTTTGCTCGCGATTTGCTAGCAGATCGCGTTGCGTTGGTTTTAACCGTAGTATCGAGAGCTGGCGAACTACTGAGCGTCAAATTGTCCCGTGAAACAGCAAATTTCGGGGTTATTTCTGTAACATAGTGTAAAGATCATGCAACTAAATTTGTATACCATATCCCAGACAGACTCAAAGTTATGCAGGCAAAATCATATCTCAGAGTAGCTGCTGCAGACAAGAAGCAACTCCTGCATGAAGCCCTAGGTAGAGCTAAGGGTCACAGACTGAAAAGAGGAAGGTCTTGGATGGCGCAAGCTGAAGACACAATTGGACGTGTGTGCAGGCTTGATAATGTTGAGCGAGGAGTGACTCAAGGCGTCCGAGCAAGTTTCAGACTTGTGTAGGGTTCTAATCACTTTAGGTCATGAGTGCAGAGACAGACCAGCTGGTGCTGCAGAATCAGAAGTTCAACAAATGATTCATGACAATTTACGCCCAGGTGATGTTATCATCTATACAGATGGTTCTGTGTTGAGGGGCAGACGAAGTGCATGGGGTTTCATATCGAAGGCAAATAGACGTTGCCTAGTGCATCAACGCCTTGCACATGATATCACAACGTCTAGTTTGCGAATGAAGGTGGAGGCTGCCTCTCTGCGGCTTTCCGCTGGCTTGAGAATCAGCTGTACACACATGCCGTGATTTTAACTGACCCACAGAGCATGTTTAGAAAGGTGAAAACAGGCATGCTTCGTGCAGAGTGGCAAGAATCACTTCAGAGGTTTCGGTAAGTTAGCATCATTTGGATATTTTCTCTAGGTCATGCCGGTTTGTCGGGAAATGAGTAGGCAGATAGAGTGGCTGGCTCTGCACCACTTCCTGGAGAACTGATGTATGAGAAGTTAGATATTGTGAGGGCCCTTTGGGAGCAGGGGAACAGTGCAGAGGCGCAGATAGATCGTTACAGTCTATGGAGAATGGTGCTACGAGGAGTTACCAGGGGATCTGACCGACGCTTAACACTAACGGGGGAAGGATGAGACAGATATACAATCAGACGGTTACTGGTACCATCGGAGTTGGAACTCTTCGCTTGGGAATGTTCCGAGTGCCGTGATGTCGATTCTGAATCAACAGTCAAACCATGCAGCCTACAATCCGTAGGATGACGAATTCTCCGTTCCTATACCGTCCTACAAGGGTAAATACAGGCTATTTAAGCAGCATATTGGTACAGCCCCTTCTTTACAGCAATATGGGCCCCTGGGCAAACCAGTGTGATGGGGCTCCTACGACAATCATTCAGGGGAATGAAATGTCATACTTAGAGTCAGGAAAGGTCTCAAAGCACACAAAATGTTGGCAGCAGTTGATTTGGAACAACCTCTAGTTTGCATTCTCTATCAGGTTTTTTTTTTTTTTTTTATTATTTATTTAAAAGCGTCATAGACTATGGTCTGGGCCTCCTAACTGGCAGCAGAATCCAGCTAGAAAGATTGGAAAGAAATTTGTATTTATGAAAAGTCACTTGATCATCATGAAGCAGTCCTGCTCGTGGAACCCTCGGACAGATGCCAACCGGGATTATGCATTAAGACGACCCTGTATGGGTATTCCTGGGACTGCTGTTCCTCTCTGACCATTCCCGCTTGAAGTTTGAGAATCGCTGTGTTTAACTGTCAACGACTCTCGTGGGACTGAACGTTTGAATAGGCTATTGAGAGGTTATGGGAACAGAATGACTTAGCTTTCAGGGCAGCAGCACAAAAACTGATGACGTCTGCTATATACTCGGGTCAGTAACGAAACAGCTAAAACTTGCAGGCAAGCAGGCAGGAATGTTTCTGTATAGAAACACCAGCCTTGAATATGCATTTATGGCCCCTAGAACCACTGCGGGGATGGCAACAAGTGGTTTCCTGTATGCCTTTATTGTTAATTATTTTTATGATCTTATAAATTACAGTTATACAGTTCTTCTTCTTCTTCTTCTTCTTCTTCTTCTTCTTCTTCTTCTACCTATATCGCAAAGAAGAGAGAGAGAGAGAGAGAGAGAGAGAGAGAGAGAGAGAGAGAGTGTGTGTGTGTGTGTGTGTGTGTGTGTGTGTGTGTGTGTGTGTGTGTGTTGGGAGCTGTGAAAAAGTCCGTGTTTAATTTCTCTAATCCATCTCTGTGTGGTCTTTTCCTGGCTTTGTATTCATTATATTTGTTCAGCGTAGTTCTCTAACATTTTCCAAAATTGGCATGTTTCTTATGCAGTATGTGAATACACAATTATTTGTCCATGTAACATCTAATGTACTGTACAGTTTGAAAAAAAAAAAAAGTAAAGAACCTAGACCTAAATTTTATAGACTAATCAGCACTTGGTGGGGGGGGGGGGGTATAGTCAACATCACGCCGACTTCCTTTACTTCCCAGGAAAGTGGGTACCCTGGCACCCACTCAAGGCTGGGCCGACCTGGGAGCCAAGGTCATTTTTTAAGAAAAATGTGCGGACCCGTCAGGACCCGAACACTCGGCCTTCTGATCCACAGGTGAGCGTCTAGTCCAGTGTATCTCAAACTTGTAAGCCCAAGGACCCCCTCTCCCCCCCCCCCACCTCCCCAGCGCCTTTGTAGTTGTTGTTGTTTACAAATATAATCATCATCGCCATGTGCCACGCCAAAAAAAAAAAAAAAAAAAAGGGCGTTCATCATTTGCTATCCTGCACGATCATCAGAATCTCGGATCAGGTGGTGCTCTCGTGCTACCGCATGCATGTATTTATCTCTTTCTTTGATGTCCCCTGTCCTTTCTGTCAATGTTGCTAGTTGTTACAAAGTTATCGTGTGTATTTCTTGCCTTGAAATATATCTTCTGCAATTAAATTAAAAGAATGATTTGATGGCAATTTGTTTTTATCGTCTTTCTCTACCGTCGCCTTAGAACTATGGTGAATATTTTTTTTTTTCTCCAGTTCAAATTTATAGACTGTTTTGAGAGTTTGAATAATGAAGACATAAACAATAGGTTGCACAATTTATTGCCTGTTATATTTCACTTTATTTTCTGGGTCGGATTTATTACAGGTTGTATTGCAACAAAACCTGCAAAACATATTTCTTTAACACTGAGCCATTAGAACTCCCACCCAACCCCCACCCCTTTCACCCCCTCCCCCTCCAACACACGGGGGTGATGAGACGCCGATCCCCACCACCCTATTTTGGAACCTACCAATCACATCTTTTTCTTTTCTCAAAGCATTACGGTTTGCTGTGTTTGTAAATTGTTGCCGTGTATGCTGTGTCGACCTATGCTTGGTTAATATAAACTTCTGTGACCTCTGGTGCCAGTTCAAAGGTCTGTGGTGAATCCTGTCCATATCCCATAGCTGTGGATTTCAATAAAAACACATTTTAGTGTTTTTAGAGGTGCTTAGCTGGTCATGATCTTGTACACTTGTTTCCATATGGAGGCGCAGACGCCATTTGGAGGTGACAGGTTAGATTCCCGACAGGGTAAGTACAGTTTTCGATTTGTGTGAGTTGTTCAGTTGTCCTTCTGTCGTTCTACTTCTTTCTGTGACTGCAAATCAATTCAGTATTATTAAAGCAGGTTGGTATGGCTTTTTATCTTGAGTGAAATCATTTCAAGTCACTTGAAGTCGCTGGATTGACGTTTAAAATAAGATACTTCCAATAAAGAAATCATGAGAATTACATGGCGGAGCAAAACTTTGGGCCAAGAAAAACATCGATGCAAGCCAAACTTTACGGCTCGCTGAGTGAATAACAAATAACAATGAAGTTCATACTAGAGACAACATTGCAGGTATAGATAATTTATTTCAAGCCAGCGAAAGAAGAAGAGAAAGATTTCCTAGCTACTTGATGGCAGGTCGGGTTCCGCCGTGGGTGATACAGTCGTCCCAGTCAGGCCAGAAGCGCTCTCTCATCCGAAGGCAGTATTCGTTCAGGGCGGGAAACTTCTCTGTGGATACAGACATGCAGACGCCCATTACCAACAACAGATAATTATATAACCTAGTTTTATACCTCAAGCACCAGCAGTATGCTCCGCTAGATGGAGGTCATGATAATAAATCGGTTCCGTTCAAAATTATGCAAACAAAAGAACATGGTCGTAACCTTGCGTTTGCCCTGGTGAAAAAGGCAGTTACTTGTAAATATAATATAATTTTTGCTTGTTAGAAGGATTCATTTTGCTCCTTAATTGTAATCTGTTGTTGCTGTAGTATTCACCAGACGAAATACAATTAAATATGCAGGCATTAAATTGTGCCATCTGTTACTTGTGTCTTCTTTGTTCAAACCAGTAATTAAGTTAAAGTCCTGTTACCGCACTGGGTTTATGACGTTAAACTCCTATTTTGGACAGTTGGAACTCAATCGGTAGTGTGGTCTCCACTATGTGGGGGTACAAGGAAAAGAGAAAGCTGATAGGCTTGTAGGTAAAGCTACTGTGAAAGCCAGACAAGCAATGGAACCAGGCTGATATACTGAATGCTCTAAGCGTGAACCAGCTGAGAACTGTGAACTTGCAACCATAGTCAGACTGCAAGAACAACATGTTAAACGGGGTGACACCAAACAAGAACACTACGTGGGTAGTCAAAGAATAATAATAAACCAACACAGAACTGTTGTCGTTAACACCTACACTCTGCGGAATTTATTGACGAGGGTATCCGAGCACTTGTGGACTGAGTGTTTCAACGTGCAATGAGGATAATCTGTCGACTAACTAACTAAAAACCAACAGCTGCCGTTACTGTCTGTCCATTTCCTAACTACCTACGACTCTGCTAGATTTATCTATTGCATTCAATTAGTAAAACGAGGGTGGGTCAAATCTAAACGGTTGGTGGCCTACTTGAAATGGACAAAAACAGACAGATAATTAAATTGTATGAAAAAAAGTTTTCTCCGTGAAGAAAAAATTATCAAACGTGGTTGCAATGCAGGATAATCTGTTGCGCTATGGACTTTTCTCAACCTAAGGTTAACACACTCGCCATTATCAGCTGCCACGTTACTATTCGTCTGTATGCCCATTTAACAATATTAGTCTATCCTTGAGTCCCATATTATGGCGACCAAACGACCCTAAACAGCCTCGTCGTGTGTAAAATGCGGAGTGCCTGCCGAGGAACAAATCGCGGCAAAACTAGGATCGCCTCCGAATAACGGGCCAATATTATCGAGGGCAAACAAAGGCTCTAACAGGGTCTCAGCGATATGTTAATTGCGGACCTGTTTCTGCGACTACGCCGCACTGCCGACAGTATCCAAAATAAATTGGAGGAAGTTTCAGGAGATGCGGTAGCTGCTGCTCGTGAGTCCCAGCCATCTAGTTTAACCTCCAATCGGCGGCGCGCGTAGCGGCGCGGGGGATAACCTCTCGGTGGTGATTTTAATCGGAAGAACACTATCGCTAACCTGCGTCGGAGCGCGTGGTCTCCCCCGCCATGTCGTATTATCATGTTGCGTTTCTCGAAAGTGTCAACGGACAGTAATCCTAGTTTTGCCGCGATGTGTTCCTCGGAGGAAGTCCGCATTTTACACACGACTGAGGCCCTGTTAGGCTTTTTGTTTGGCCGCCATAATATGGGGTCGAAATTCGAAGAAGAGCCGATTTTTCTAAATAGAAAAATGTAATTTTATTTGTTTAAATCATCACTGTTCAATGGCATCGTGAGAGCTAATAGACTAAATTGGCTAGGGCATATACATACAATGGGAGATAACAATGACAACTATGTACGTAAGGGAGTTGAATGACAGTAAACCATGAGAAGACCTTGAGAGAGATCATATCCAAGCACTTGGAGTCACCATCCGGAAAGAGAAAGCCAGCCCCAGAGATGAGTTGAGGCTGATGGTATCTGCAGCCATGAACCTCAGTAACTTATCCTTAACTTTCACATGCTGTGAAATACGTTAGTAAGTTCTGGATGCTCGTCCACTCCTAGACTTTGGGTTTGATCCAGAACTTAAGTTTTGCCTGCACACCTGTTTTACAGATCTAGCCTACTTGTGTGTGCACCTTTGGTTCATTGTCTTACAGGCAGATGTACTCTGACTTGGGACCCCCCCCCTTTTTTCCACCAACCTAATTAGTCACCTCCCACAATAAGCTTGCAAGTTACGTCCCCAGAACCCACACAAGGAGTTACGTCCCCAGAACCCATACCAGGAGTTACGTCCCCAGAACCCACAACAGGAGTTACGTCCCCAGAACCCACAACAGGAGTTACGTCCCCAGAACCCACACCAGGAGTTACGTCCCCAGAACCCACACAAGGAGTTACGTCCCCAAAACCCACACAAGGAGTTACGTCCCCAGAACCCACATCAGGAGTTACGTCCCCAGAACCCACAACAGGAGTTACGTCCCCAGAACCCATACCAGGAGTTACGTCCCCAGAACCCACATCAGGAGTTACGTCCCCAGAACCCACAACAGGAGTTACGTCCCCAGAACCCATACCAGGAGTTACGTCCCCAGAACCCACAACAGGAGTTACGTCCCCAGAACCCACAACAGGAGTTACGTCCCCAGAACCCACAACAGGAGTTACGTCCCCAGAACCCATATAAGGAGTTACGTCCAGAACCCACAACAGAGTTACGTCCCCAGAACCCACAACAGGAGTTACGTCCAGAAACCACACAAAGAGTTACGTCCCCAGAACCCACACCAGGAGTTACGTCCCCAACAGGAGTTTACGTCCCCAGAACCCACATCAGGAGTTACGTCCCCAGAACCCACATCAGGAGTTACGTCCCCCGAACCCACACAAGGAGTTACGTCCACAGAACCCACATCAGGAGTTACGTCCCCCGAACCCACACAAGGAGTTACGTCCACAGAACCCACATCAGGAGTTACGTCCCCCGAACCCACACAAGGAGTTACGTCCCCAGGAGTTACGTCCCCCGAACCCACACAAGGAGTTACGTCCACAGAACCCACAACAGGAGTTACGTCCCCAGAACCCACAACAGGAGTTACGTCCACAGAACCCACACAAGGAGTTACGTCCACAGAATCCACACCAGGAGTTACGTCCCCAGAACCCACAACAGGAGTTACGTCCCCAGAACCCACACAAGGAGTTGCGTCCACAGAACCCACAACAGGAGTTACGTCCCTAGAACCCACACCACAAGTTAAGTCCCCAGTATCCTCAACAGAAGTTAAGTCACCAATACCCACACGGGGAGTTCAGTGCAGACGCAATCCGACTTTGAAGTAAACACCCGTAATTATTAGTCTCCTACGACATGCTTTTACGGGGACAGTGGGTCTATTTTTCTTCTCCAAAATGAAGTCCCTGGACCCCCCCCCCCCCCCCACCCACCCCTCCCCACTTCACTACAAAGTAAGTAACAAGTTGTGATGCCAGTTTTACCTTGAATGACATTTCCGCACAAATCATCGACTGCTTGCCAGATAAACTGAGAAAGCAATCCGAAGACAGAACAATCAACTTCACAAGGCGTGGAGCCCATTAAAAATTGTTTGTTTCCTGGAAAGACAAGACGAACGTTCGGGTAATGCAATAAATCTGCATTCTAACATGCAAACTGATCAAAGATTTCTGTAAGAGGGGTGAGGGGAGGGGGGGGGGGGGCGTAGGACGACAAAATGTGAAAAGAGTTGCTTAACTTTAAAAAGGTAATACCGTTATCTTTTACAGGCCGTCGGAAACAAATTCCAGAATTTGCTGGCTATTTATTTAACGTTCAGAAATTTGCCATCGATTTGTGAACTGCTCAAAGCTTTTACCTGTTACTCGTTGCCGTATCGAAATCCTAAGACATCGGTATGACCCATTCGTGCACCGTCCTTCCACCCAGCAGCCATCGCAGTGTCTCCCTGCTCAACGTGCCAAGTAGGAGTCGAATGGCATTATCTTCTTTCTTTGCCTTGCAACCTGTTTCAGCAGGCTTGTCTTCGTTTAGTATCCATTTCCAACAAGAGATTCATTGTCTCAGACCCTTTCTTCTCAAAGTCTCTGGATTCAGTATGTCAGCCCACTCCGTACTTCTGCCTCCACCAGCTACCGCATACATGTATCATTACACTGCTGACATGTATCAGTACATTGCTGACATGTATCATTACATTGCTGGCATGTATCATTACACTGCTGGCATGTGCCATTACATTGCTGACATGTATCATTGCACTGCTGGCATGTATCATTACACTGCTGACATGTATCATTACACAGCAGGCATGTATCATTACACTGCTGGCATGTGCCATTACATTGCTGACATGTATCATTACACTTCTGGCATGAATCATTACACTGCTGGCATGTATCATTACACTGCTGACATGTATCATTACACAGCAGGCATGTATCATTACACTGCTGGCATGTGCCATTACATTGCTGACATGTATCATTACACTGCTGGCATGAATCATTACACTGCTGGCATGTGTCATTACACTGCTGGCATGTGTCATTACACTGCTGGCATGTGTCATTACACTGCTGGCATGTATCATTACACAGCAGGCATGTATCATTACACTGCTGGCATGTATCATTACACTGCTGGCATGTGTCATTACACTGCTGACATGTGTCATTACACTGCTATCATGTATCATTACACTGCTGGCATGTATTATTACACTGCTGGCGTGTATCATTACACTGCTGACACGTATCATTACACCTGCTGACATGTATCATTACACTGCTGGCATGTATCATTATACTGCTGTCGTGTATCATTACACTGCTGGCATGTATCATTACACTGTTGGCATGTGTCCTTACACTGCCGACATGTATTATTACACTGCTGGCATGTATCATTACACTGCTGGCATGTGCCATTACATTGCTGACATGTATCATTACACTGCTGGCATGTGTCATTACACTGCTGACATGTATCATTACACTGCTGACATGTATCATTACACTGCTGGCATGTATTATTACACTGAAGGCGTGTATCATTACACTGCTGACACGTATCATTACACTGCTGACATGTATCCTTACACTGTTGGCATGTATCATTATACTGCTGTCGTATATCATTACACTGCTGGCATGTATCATTATACTGCTGTCGTATATCATTACACTGTTGGCATGTATCATTATACTGCTGTCGTATATCATTACACTGCTGGCATGTATCATTACACTGTTGGCATGTGTCATTACACTGCCGACATGTATTATTACACTGCTGGCATGTATCGCTACACTGTTAGCATATATCATTACACTGCTGGCATGTATCGTTACATTACTGGCATGTATCGTTACAATGTTGGCATGTGTCATTGCACTGATGGCATGTATCATTACACTGCTGGCATGTGTCATTACACTGCTGACATGTATCATTAAACTGTTGGCATGTATCATTACACTGCTGGCGTGTATAATTACATGGCTAACACGTATCATTACACTGCTAACATGTATCATTACACTGCTGGCATGTATCATTACAAAATAAAGTTCGCTCGTTCTCTCTCTCTCTCTCTCTCTCTCTCTCTCTCTCTCTCTCTCTCTCTCTCTCTCTCTCTCTCTCTCTCTGTCTCTCTCATTCTCTTTGTTGAAAGTTTTGTTTAAATTGATTTACCATTGTAAGGTATATAGGTATCATTCGAGTACATTCCAGTGCTTGGATTTAATATTTAGCTGCTATTGATAATGTTAACTATTACTTGTTAACAGATGTCTGAATGAAATGATGTATGAAAGAAGGAGATTAGAAGGGTAAAATGTTTGACTGGACTGTGTCTCCAATTCCTACCCTTTTGAAAATGAAGTTTTCATCGTTTGTTCGTTCTCTCTCTCTCTCTCTCTCTCTCTCTCTCTCTCTATATATATATATATATATATATATATATATATATATATATATATATATATATATATATATATATACTAGCTGTACCCGGCCACACGTTGCTGTGGCCCAGAATGGTGAAATGGAGAGGAAAGAAAATAGCTCTCAGCTAACAGTGTCTGTTATATCCCCGCTCCCCCCCCCCCTCTCTCTCCCCTCGACCCAGTCAGTTTTCCCTCTCCGGAGGATTGAAAAAATCATCCATGGCGAAATTATTAAAATAGAAATAGTTGAGAAATGAGAAATTTAAAATAATATTTTAAGCTCTCTCAGCTAACTGTTTCTGGCATAACCCCCCCCCCCCCCTCCCCCCCCCACCTCTCTCTCCGTAGGATTGAAAAATCATCACCTGGCGAAATTATTAAAATAGAAATCGTTAATAAATGAGAACATTAAAATAATATTTTAAGCTCTCTCAGCTAACTGTGTTTGGCATAACTCCCCCCCCCCCCCCCCCCCCGCCTCTCCCCCAATTATATCTCCCTCTCCGAAGGATTGAAAAATCATCACCTGGCGAAATTATTAAAATCGAAATAGTTAAGAAATAAGAACTTCAAAATAACATTTTAAGCTCTCTCAGCTAACTGTGTCTGGGCATAACCCCCCCCCCCCCCCCCCCTCATCCCCTCTTCCCCCCCCCCCCCCCCCCCCCATCCACTAATCATGAATCCATCTCCGAAGAATTGAAAAATCATTACCCGGCGGAATTTTTAAAATAGACATAGTTAAGAAATGAGAATTTCAAAATAATATTTTAAGCTCTCTCAGCTAGCTGTGTCAGGCATACCCCCCCCCCCCCACCCCCTTATCATATATCCCTCTCCAAAGGATTGAAAAATCATCACCTGGTGAAATTATTAAAATAGAAATAGTTAAGAAATTAGAACTTTAAAATAATATTTTAGGCTCTCTCAGCTAACTGGATCTGGCATAACCACCCCCCCCCCCTTTTCCGCCTCCCCCAATCATGTAATCCTCTCTGAAGGATGGGAAAGTCACCGTGTAACTAAATTGAGCTTGGCATCCGTGTCCACCCAGACTTAAATAGGTATAACTTGTACTGAGAAGTAAATGTGGCCAGTGTAACAGCTACCACATCACCCATCCAGTACTAGTACTACTGCAACCACTACCACCAACAACATAACAACAGCAACAATAACAACAACAAAAACTGTCACTACAGACTGTGTAGGTTGGTGTAGAAAAGAGGAGTTAGCGCCGCATGCTGTCGCCACGGACTATTTAGTTTAATATTGCCCCCGACATAGACTTCATCACCTAACCAGTGATGGAAACCACAGTAAAAAGTACACTATACTCACGGATAGCGGAGAAAAATGCCCCGCACCCCGTCATCTCACCCTCTCCGAAGAAACGATTTTCAACTGACCTTGGCATCCGTGTCCACCCAAACTAAACTGGACTGTAGGCCGTCTTAGGTAACAGTTTCTGTCATCGCCGAATAGTTTTTGATCGACAAGCGTCGCGGGGAGGCTAATTGTGACTTAACTGAAATCGGATGTCTTTGGGCGAAAGGCGCAGATATCGCAGCCTAGCTGTAACCCACAACACAACGTGGCAACCACCCTTTTAAGGGAAAAAGAACAATTATCACCCAGCGGGGAATCGAACACCGGTCACCCGCGTGAAGGATGGAATACTTAAATCTATACTACCGAAGACTGAAGAGTTTAGGTCAGATATCGCAGCCTAGCTGTAAACCACAACACAACATGCCAACGGCCCCTCGACGGCGAACGAAAATTACCCGTGACATGACCATTGAGCATTACGTCGCCGTTGTCGCAGTCTAGCTGTAAACCCCAAAACCGAAAAAGGCGTAGATATCGCAGCCTAGCCATAAACCACAACACAACGTGCCAGCCGCCCAGTTAAGGGGAAAAAAAAAATTATATTACCTAGAGGGGAATCGAACGCGGGTCACCCGCATGATAGGCAGAATAGTTACCAACTACGCTACCAAACACTCGAGCTGATAGTGGAAATAAAATTCTATAATAATGCAAAGTTCAGTAAGAGCTCAGGCAGTCAAAAATGGCCAATCAACTAAAAAAAAAATCCGGGCCGGCAACGAAACAAATAATGATTTGACTGTTGCTGGAGCTACGTCGTTCGTGGTTTGTGCGATTTTCTGACAAAAAATCACGCTTTGAGTCAAAGGCAACGTTGTGTGAAAATTTGAAATCAATCGGTTCAGTAGTTTCCGAGTTTATGGTTAACAAACTCGGAAAATTAACATTTTTATTTATTATATATATATATATATATATATATATATATATATATATATATATATATATATATTCTCTCTCTTCCACTCTCTCTCTCTCACAAATACACACACACACATACACACATACACATATATACATATACACAAACGCGCACACAAAGAGAGAGAGAGAGATAGATAGAGAGAGAGAGAGAGAGAGAGAGAGAGATTTACCGTGGTGATACTCTCAGTGGTGACACTAATGACGAAGTGATGGCTATAAAGACCATACTGATGATAATGATGTTAATGATATTAACAACGATGTTTTGGGTGATGACATGATACAGATAATAGTGATGATGTTACTGCTGTCTATAATAATGATGACACTTATGAAGATGCTGCTATTGATATTAACTCTTTACGGACGTTTAGCCAGTATACTGGCGCTTAAGTCTATTCCTTAAAGACGTAAAGCCAATTTACTGGCTCATGATAGACACTCTAATTTTGTTCCGTTTGTAGGGTAAACGAACTTTTATGAACAAGTTTTTTAACAATTAGGATTAACAACAGGATGTACTTTAATTTGCGATGTTCATCGTGGTCGGTGCATTATTTTGTGATTTAAAAAAAAAAAATTATTTAGATGGAATACAATTTGTACGTGATTTTTCTATACTAAATGATTAGGAAAAAGGTCTAGAACTGTCCATACTGCTCTATCGTTGATGAATCCCTGCCAGATGGTGACAACAGTCTTGATATTATGATTGATATCTAAGGACACATCTACTAGCGATAATTTAGTTTAGTATATGAAAATTTCACAAAATATTTCAATTAGATAAATGTTTCGATCAGCTGTTTTTCCGATTTTCGGTTGTTGTGAAAATTTACATTTTATTCAAAAATGATTATAAAATCCAAAGTATTCAAATTAATTGTTTCAAATAAAGACTAGCTAATACATAACTGAACAGAGAAGGCATGTGTATTCTTAGAATTGGATAGCAGTGTTGTTGAACCAGTAAAAAATAAGGTTAGCACACAATTTTTTATGTTTAAAATTGTCCTTTGTGTATAACACCCTTGAATGTTGTGTGATTTTAATAATATTTTGATGTTATACTAACATTTAAGTAGTTTAGATTTATTCTGCCCTCATTTATATTTAATTTGATATATTATAAGTCCCGATACAGCCGATACTGTTTCTTCAAGAAGGTTTTAGCTTTGTCGTGTTGCACTAAAAAGATTCCGCTTAAAATTAATGCTGTCCAAAACCCAGAAAAAATGCCGTCCTAAAAGAGTTAATGACAGCGGAAACGGTGACAACGACCATTACAATTGATTCAACTGATTATGATGATAAGAATGATATTAATGAAGACAATGATGACTGACCTAAGAAGTCACTCAGAGCCTGTAGATCAGCCAGGAATATGCGTTTGATTTCCTCTGCTGAATGAACTCCCATTCCTTGTCCAATGACTCTTCTAACCATAGTCTTTTTCAGCTTCCATATAAGACACGGCGATCCGGGAAGACCCATCTTTATAATTGTGAGGTTCTTGTCATAGACCCACCTAGAGTATACTAAGATCCTGGGAAATAACAAAGAATGAAACAAAGGCAAAACATACTCAGCTTTTCTCCGTTTAGTTCCATCATAGCTTGTAGATGGGCTTGGTCCCGAAAATAATAATAGCTAGGTCTGAAAATCCAGAAGGGATGATAAAGATAATGAGAATTGATCAGGCAAACATTGATGTGGTTTCTATTAATGGCATCCCACTCCAAGACGGGGAGTCGTACGCGTATTTGGGCACTAATGAAGATAAAGATGTGGGAACTGATAGGTAGCTGCGTATCCTTTACAGGACGTTGAAGAACCAACCACAGCATTTTTTGGCTGTTGTGGTTTTTCTAGGCAAGTTTACCTCTAGTAGTTTGCAATTGCCTCTGGACTGTCAGCTTCTTAATAACACTGTCGAAACCAACGCAAGGCGCGAGGCCCGCAGGTGGAATCGGATCCGGTACCCTGGCATTACGAAGCGCGTTCGCAACGCCTAAGCCACTGACGCCGACGGGGGAACTGATAGGGATATTTAAAAAAAAAAAGAATACATAAAGCAAGAAGAGCTTTCATAGCAATAAAGAATTTGTGGAGGTCAAGAGAAAATAAAAGAATTACTAAACTTAAAATTTTTAATTCTATTGTCAAATCAGTACTGTTGTTGTACATAGAATTCGCAGATGGTACTAGGGATAAGTCCAGCGTACCAACCGGAAAGTACTGCCATAACTATGATGCAGAAACTCAGGCTATCAAGATAGCAACAGAGAAATACCAATCTTGACTCACAGTATGTGGTAATGCTGACAGATGCAAAATGAGTACTTGAAGCACTCCAGTCTAGGAAACTACCAGAATTGCAAACACTGCTGACACGACTTAGCCTTCAGCGAAGAGTTGTAATACAGTGGATACCATCGTATTGTGGAGTGCCTGCAAATGATAAAGCTGATCAACTGGCAGGAGAAGGTGCGACAAAAGTGCAGCCGGATGTACCAGTCACATACCACCAAAAGAAAAGAATCATTAAATTAATCAGGAAACCACCAGCCCTAGCACAAGACGACTATTTTATTATGGACAGATGAGAACAAGTCATTATCCTCCGCCTCAGAACAGGGCACAACCGATTACGTAACCGTATGTACACAAAATTTAAGATAGGCGTATCAGCCATGTGCACATGTGGGAAGGTGCCCAGACAGCAGAGCATGTACTCCGGGACTGCAGCGAATTTGACACATTAAGGCAAACCTTTTGGCCAGAAAGAACAATAGTGGAACGTAAACTCTATGGACCACTGAATGAAATAACTACCACAGTGAAATTTATACAAGAGACAAAATTGCTGATACAGACAACTTATTTCAGGCGAACGAAAGAAGAAGAAGTACTGTTGAATGGAGCGGAAACATGAAGAACAGTTAAAGCAATTACTAATAAACTATAAAAACTAATTAACTAATGCCTGGAAATTACTAATAAACTATAAACATTTAATAATTGGTTCCTGACATATTAGAGGAGAATGGTACAATAGAAACATTATTATAGAACTTGGGGGAGAACTAAACAAGTTCCAGTGAACCAAGACTATTTTTGATTGATCCAGTTGACTGAATGTATTTACCTATTAATTTCCTTGTGTTACTGTAAAGGTCTCTGATGTTTTATTTTGCTGTTTCTGTCTGCGCTTCCTGTGCTAGATCATTTATATATTTCACTTTATCTGCCCTTATATGCCTCTTAACTTTCTTTTTGACTTCTGCGTATTTATCCTGAGCTCTAGCTTTAGCTGTCCTAGTTTTGCTATTGTTTAAGTCTGCCTTTTTACTTTTCCTTTCTTCAATCAGTTTAATGGTTTCTGGTGTTATCCACGCTTTATGTTTCCGTTCTTTCTTACCAAGAACTTCTACACAAGATTTATTCCGGATTACCTTGATCTGATCCCAGAAGACTTCTGTGCTTACATATTCAGCTAACTGCTGCAACAGATGGTACTTATTAGAGACTGTTACTGAAAATTGTTCCTTAACTTCTTAATCCCTGAGATAACCTACATTATATTGGTTTCTATGATTAGAAAATGTTACTATCTTTTAAGTTTCAACTTGATTTTACTTACCTACAGAAAATGTTCAGTAAATGTATCAGCACATCTAAAACCCCTAACATATAATCTTCCTTACCTTACTATAATTTTCCTTACTTTACTATAATTTTCCTAACTTTACTATAATTTCACTTATTTTACTATAATTTTCCCAACTTCACAATAATTGTTCTAACATTACTATAATTTTCTTTACTTTTTCGATAACTTTGCTTGCTCTAATTAATATAATAGTCTTTAATGTAATTTTCTTTGCTTCTTCTTCTTCTTCTTCTTCTTCTTTTTCTTCTTCTTCTTCTTCTTCTTCTTCTTCTTCTTCTTCTTCTTCTTCTTCTTCTTCTTCTTCTTCTCTTCTTCTTCTTCTTCTTCTTCTTCTTCTTTCTTCTTCTTCTTCTTCTTCTTCTTCTTCTTCTTCTTCTTCTTCTTCTTCTTCTTCTTCTTCTTCTTCTTCTTCTTCTTTTTCTTCTTCTTCTTCTTCTTCTTCTTCTTCTTCTTCTTCTTCTTCTTCTTCTTCTTCTTCTTCTTCTTCTTCTTCTTCTTCTTCTCCTTCTTTTTCTTCTTCTTCTTCTTCTTCTTCTTCTTTGTTCACTGGCTGTAAGTTCCGGCGAACGTCACTTGTTGTTTGTCTATTTGAACCCTGGTACCACTGGAACTGCGGCGTTCGTGGCTAAGGCGTTGCGAGTCCGACTCGTATGCCAGATACCGCGATCGAAACCCACTGCAGGCTGCGTGGATTTTTATCGTGGTATGGGGCGTCGCAGGTCGACCAAGCCTAAAATGGGTACCAGGATGGGCTGTCCTGGGAAAGTAAAGACAGCCGGCGTAATGCTGACCACATTACCCACAGAGTGCTGATGGTCTGTAAAAATATGGGACGCTCTGCCCATATGCCCGATGCGCCGAAAGGCGTGAAAAGGGATCTTTACTTTATTTCACTTACCACTGGAACTGGAACTCTTTGCTTGGTGCAAAGATGGAGACGGTGCGCTTATGGGAGTGTCTCGAGTGCTATGATGTCGATTCTTATTTCGATAACGTTCAATACAGATAATATTAGTTACCAGTAGAGATACTCATCCGCCAGAACCTGGAAGGCTTTAGCAAACGCTAGCTGCTCCTGGTTCAAATCTTTGTTCAGGTTAATGTTCAGTTTCTTGTTCAAGTACTCAATAATGAAGTGGGTATCAGACACATCCTCGCCGTTGTAGGTGATGAAAGGTGTCTTTCCTTTGGGGGAGAACTGTCCACTCAAGTCATTCTGGTACAGGAGCCAAAAACGGTTAAAACATATACTTAGCAATGGAAGGATTACAACTAATTAATCATCATCAAAGAGCAAGTGGCTCACAGAACGTCGCACTCTTCACAGCACGCCTTAAAGTATCTCCTTCTCTAGCCAATTTCCCAAAAACCTTTGTTTTTTCATAGAGAATTTTTCTTTAATGTCATGTATCCATATTCGAGGAGGTCGGCCTCTGTCTTGTGTTCCGGAAACTGCACCCTTCATCCGCGTTCTCTCCAGGTTACCATCACTTTCAAAAAAAGACCAAAAAGACCTTAGCTTTCGAAAGAGAATGCTGTTTATGAGCCAATTCTTCTCGATGTTTAGATCACGTTGTTGGATGTAAATATTTTCTTCTTTTTGGTTCAAGGCATTCTAAGAAAGTTTTTGAATTCAATATGCTAACAAAATACGATTGAAATATACAGTTACCAGTTTTTCTATTGGTGAATACGCTTTTTAAAAAAAATCTCTTCGTTTAGTGGTTGTCAAGACAGTTTCATAATTCCGAAATTCCAAGCCCATTCAGCTGCTTGCGATTTGGCAGTAGACCGTTATACATTGTTTTCGAAATGTTATAAGAGTCGACCGTTCATATGCCATGGCAAACTACTGAAAGTCAAAATAACTAATGAAACTACTAGCAGCCAAAATGCATATCATACAAGTTGATTTGATTTGATTTGACTCAGGATCCGACGTCACAGCACTCAAGGCATTCCCATAAGCGCTTCGTCCCCATCTTCAGAAGCCAGCGAAGAGTTTCGATACTAATGGTGCCAGTAGCATTCTGATTAAACGTCTGTCTTGCCTTTCCTCTGAGCCACGAGCATCTACCAGAACCTCTCGTCATTTCCCGTGCATCAATCTCACCAGTTTATGGTGACCCATCTGCTCCTCCGAACTGTACACGCTCTCCCACAAGGCAATAACCACGTCTGCCTTATCATGTATCAGTATTCCACCAAGTTGAGCACAGCCAGCCAGTCTGTCCGCCTGTTTATTTCCCAACACACCGGAGTGCCGCGGTGAAAAAAATAAAGACAACACTCATCACACGTGTCCTTCGCAGCGAAGCATGCCACTCTGCACGAAGCATGCCGGTCCTGATCTTCCTCAGCATGCTTTCTTGGTTAGTTAAACAATGTGTGTGTGTGTGTCGTGTTTTTTAACAAACAGAAAGCTACAGGGACGGCCTCCATCTCAATTCTTAAACTGGATGTTGTGGTATCATATGCTGGGCTCTCCTGCACCAGACGCCGACCATTAACTTTTGCTAAGAAACCCCAAGCACTTCTTTTGCCTCTTGACACTGAACCGTGTGTGTAAATGATCAAATCCTCTGAGCGAGCATTATCTTGAATTAATTGCTGAATTTCCACCTCTGTGGCACCTACTGGCCAGTCTCTGCATTCCCGGCTCAGCGTGATTATGAACCTACACAAGTCTGACAGTTCAGGTTGACCCACTCCTCTCCTCGCCTAATCTTCTTCAGTATGCAAGCTTGTCTGATTGTGTCTTCTGTCTGAGCCATCCATGACTTCCCTCTTATCAGCCGCTGATCCTTAACTGCACCCAGATCTTCATGCAGAGGGTGGTCTGTGTCTGCAGCTACCCTGAGATATGACTTCGCCTGCAGCACCGTGTGCTTACATGCAACAGTCGGCAAATCAAGGACGTATCGCATACACACCAGAGGGGGGTCTCTGGTGCAACTCAGAATGACCCGCATAGCTGCGTTTTGTGTGCGCTCTAGTTTATCCATCATACAATTAAGCAACCCTGAGCAGCACTTACAATGTATGGAATCCCTGCCATTCGTAGATACGTTTCCAGCTTCACAGAGAAGTTCGACAAGGATGGCGCATAAGGTCCTCGAGTCATTTGGTGCAAAAGGACGGTGTTTGGTTGACACTCAATCCTAGGCTGTTTTTGAGACCTGGATGTATTAGAAAAATCATAATTATTTGAACACTTTAGGTGTCACTGGGCTAGTTCCAGAACCCACACAGTAAGATAAAGCCACCAGTTGGGTTAGTTGCGTATCCTTTACAGGACGTGCAGAACCAACCCAAACAGCCCCTGGCTGTTGTGTGGTTTTTCTAGGCAAATATACGTCCAATAGTTTGCCATTGCTCCCTAGACGGTTGGCTTTCTTGATAACACTGTCGAAACCAACGCAAGGCGCATGGCCCGCAGCTGGGATTGAACCCGGCATTACGAAGCGTTCGCATCGACTTAGCCACAGAGCCGACAAAGCCACCAGCGCTGAATAATATTCACTGACTGTGACAATACGCTCGGTGACTTCAGAATGTCTTTCCTCAACTTCTTTTATTTCCTTGTATTTCGAAGGATACATAAATAAATGGTTTTGGATACATCCCTAATCTAAGTAAGGCGACCTGAACAAGCATTTAATTTTCCTGGACTGTTGGTAATATCAAACACTAAGACTCTTTCCGAGATGTTAAGTGTTAACGTACAGAGATAAGACTGGCCAAGCTTAGACTTACTGTCTGCAGATTTGCACACCATCTGTTGGTGTCAGATATTTATCTCCTAGCCAGACCTTTAGGAGCAGATAACTCCGGCTAATTGTGTTTAATTCCCCCTGAGGTTACCTAACTTGAAGGCAAGTCAGACGGTCACTATTGACATGGTGAGCCAAAAGTGCTGGCAGTTAAATTGACATAGTGAGCCGAGAGTTGCTAGCAAACAACTTGACAGGTGAAGTAGACTGGAGGTGTGACTTGGCCTATTAGCTTTGACCAGCTTAATTGAACTTGTAGAGTGTGGCCGTGGGAATTCAAACAAGTATTGTACAGCCCTGACTGACAGCGAATAGACACCCACGGGGGGAGCTGTGACATCCTTGAATTAGAATGATTTTAGGCGTAATGTAGGAGGAGCTTAATAAAAGTTATAAAATGATGAACTCTAGGTCTGGTAAATGAGACTCTGTCCAGCACATGCCATCTGTTGGGCTTAACCTAAGCTTGAGACAGAACTTTTGGCATCGTGGTTTCATTTTCCAGATAAGAACGAAATTAGTTTCAAAACCTTTATTTTATTTGTGATAGAGATCTAACTGTCTTTTTACTCAAGTGTGTGTCTTCATCACTTTGTAGTACTCCTAGGCGGACATTTCTTCATTCTCGTAGGGCACTGTCACATTGCTTTATTTCCTTTTTAATAGTGTCATGAATGTTTTTCGTGCACATGTGTTTCAATGTTGTAAAACTTAAATGTTGATGTTACCATTGAAGTTTAATGAACTATCATGTTCTTGAAATCACAAGCGTGAAGATAACTTTGGCAATCTTGTCACGTGTGGTTAATGTGAATCTGTTTTACATACAGCTAACACACTGAAATGTGTTTAACTCCCGAGAGGCTAATGCGGAGATTGATCCCGGAGAGTAAATCCATGAGATTTCTTATTTGATTCGCCTCAGAAATATTGTTAGCTTTCTGGGCGCGTCCATTGTTCCAAGCATGGATTTCAGAACTTGTTCGGTCTGACTGATTGTCATTTGAGTCTGTACGAGAGATGGCATCTGACGTAGAAGACTTGACTATCATTACAGGACTTGTGTAGAGGAAGGTAGAAGATGTAACGGCTGGAATGTGAGACATAAGCCCTTCCAAATTGGACAGGAGTGAATGTGAACATGAGGGAGAGATGAAATGTTTTATTTAAATAAACATGCTTGATGTTATTATAGTATACATGCTTAGTGTAAACCTAGAGCAGATACTACAGATATGCGCCTGTTTCTTTATCACAGTTCCCACATTGGGCAGGGACTAGTAGGCATCCATTCTTTGCCGACAGTCTGAGTGTAACGACCTGCTTGAAAGCAGTGAGGACGACAAACTGGAAAAGAATAGGCAGGGTCTCAAGCCGAGAACTGTCCAAAGTTTGTTACTTTCCAATATATCATTTCATTATCAACAGCATCTCAACTCTACTAGCCTAAACAAGTTAATTTTAATTTCGATTTATTCAAATAAATCATGTTTGAGGTTGTTACAAAATAGTTGAGTAAATTGTGTACTTAGGTTCAAGTGTCTTTGTGCATATTAGTTTACTTCAGCTAACAAATATTTAAATCACTTGATGGGGGCTTTTAAGTAATGCCAGGAGAGGAGAACAGTGGGAGGGGTTAACTGAGTATCCTGATATTATCTCAGTGGGTTCATCTTGATCTCTATCTATCCCTTCTCCTACTCATGTGGATACAAGTACAGCAACTTTCATTTCATGGAACGAGCCACTTGCTGTTTTCTTGGCTATCCAGGACTGTCTAGGATCAACATAGCTTAGATATTAGTCTAGTTTCTCACGTGGGTGGGCATTGTTAAGGATCAAACCCACACCTCACTATATCAGTGTATTTACCCACGTGGGCGCGCGATACTGACATCAGAAAGAATAACTTTACCAGCAACCAGCGGCGATGCCACCCACCCAACTCCCCACAACCGGGAAATGTGCAAGGGGCTAAGTGCCCCCCTCCCATTTTCCACAAGTAACGATATGTACATATTTGTGTTTATACTCCTGGTTCTTATCGCTCACAGCCTGTGAATCCAGACGGAAAGTTTTGGTTTATTCGTCCACTTCTGGACTTTGGTCCTGTTCCAGAACTTCAGTTTTCTGTCGCTTCCATTTACAGATCTGGTTTATGTATATGCAGACTGTTGGTTCCTCGCCTCTCAGGCAAATGCACTCTTACTTAGGAGGAAACACCCCTAATTAATCGCCTCGTACGATATGCTTGTTTGGGGAAATAGGAAAGAGGGTCTATTCTTCACAGAGAATAAAAAGATAACATCCGAAAAACTCTACAGCTATATCAAATATCTCCGTCGTCTACGACTCCCAGCGCGATTTAAAAAAAAAATTATAGAAGAATACATAAACCTGACTGGTAGGACTCACAACAGGATAAGACTGACAGCAAATAGGGGTAACAAAAGGATTAATACTTGCGGGACCACAGCACCAAATCACCAATACCACCTCCCCCCACCCTTCCCCATCCCCGGGTACGATGGTAAAGACTGGTGACGTGATGCGCGCTCCAGGGATCTGGTATTTACGTACACCGGAGCCTAGCTACCAAACCAAACCAACACAATCAGACCACACTATAACAAATGACTGATAGAATCATTGTGAGGCTCCACTTAAAATTTCACACACATCTCCATGACATGATTAACCCGTTTTTATTGCAGGAAGACAACCATAAGACCACTGTGGTCACACGCGGAATACTTTCACATTTATTTCGGGTCTATCCAAACGCCAAAAACTGTTTTAAGTACTTTTCGGCAAAATAAAATACTCACAATTTTAAAACTATAAATGATGGCGGTCTGAAATGGAAGAAAGAAGCATTAAACCCAGAGACGGCGCAAATACCAGAGCTTAAGCAACGAAAATTGTGCAAATAAACAAGACCACAAATATAGTCGGAGACTGTTGGCAGCTTCTGCTAGCTAGCAGCAGGTTAAACGTCGTTGAGTTTTTGATTGTTTTTCTTAAAAGAAATTATAATTGGAATACGAAGAGGAAAAAGAAGCTAATGTGCATGATAACAAGTCTTACAGGAGGTAAGGGTGCAGCTTCATATTTTTATCAGTTGTATGGCAATCAAACTTTGCCCTGGTAGTGTGTAAGCTAACAAACTGAGGTTACTGTGACCTTACGTTGCAAACAGATAACGAGAAGTGTGTGAATGGTGGCCAGCCTAAAAGAATTAGGTTACCGTCTGCATCGAAAGGTTTTTTTTCACTTCAAAATTCTTCTTGGCACCTGGTTGACCCAACATACACATTAGTACCTAGTAAAGTCCTGGGAAGTAAAGACTGGCGGCGAGATGTTGACAGCATCGCTTATCGAGTGCCCGTATGTAAAAAAAAAATGAGTTTAGCATCATATGTCCTGAATTTTTTGGCGTTAACATGGTCCTTTACTTACATTAGCCAAACAGGCACTGAAATGAGAAACACGTGAACTGAGGAAACGAGGGTGTCCAGGAGAAACACTAGGACGTATGTTAGTGAGAGAGATCAACAGTCCACGGACAGCTCCAAATATAAGTCCGTACAGCTCAAATAGGAATTCCCGTTTTTGTGAGGCTGACGTGGCTGGTCGATGGTAACAATTTTTATCAAGTAGATTTATACACAAGTCGAACTACAGTTTAATTAATTTGCAACATATGTTATTTAATGAAATATAATTTTGAGGATAAATAAATGAGCTATTAGAAAATATTTATTTTTATCTTCATTTGGGCTAATATTGAACATTGTCACCAAATTTCCAATTTTTTCTTCCCCTGGGACATGGTCTGGGTTTTCCAGGGTTAGTGAATCTACATGATGCTGCAATGACAATGACGACACACTGCAACAATAATAAAATATAATTACCCACAGTATTTCCTGAAGAGTACATAGGCTACGGGTACTGTCAGCACTCCGGTCACACAGTACGGGTAGTTGGTCCACGCGGATCTCAGCTGTTCCATGTCTGTTTGAAATATACCATGGTAAGTGTTAAGCAAATGACCTTTGCCGCGGCTTCATGCGTATTGGGCATATATGGCTAGATCTATGTTTTATAAACCAATTGGCACTTGGTGTCACGCTGTCCGCATTTACTTCCCATGACTCCCCCTGGTACTCATTAAAGGCTGGGTCGACCTGGAAGCCAAAGTAATTTTTAAATAAAAAAGGCCGGTACTATTAGTACCTGTATCTACGACCTTCCTATTCACAGGGGGCCGTCTAGCCGCTACACCACAGAGGCGCTAAACTGAAGCATGGTATATAAAGGAAAATACACTAATTAGTTATGAAGGTTTTCATGAACTTGCCCTCACGGTGAGAGTTCCTTCCCCTCCCATTCCTGTCGCGACCGGTCCAGCAGCCTGTCCTATGTCTATGTGTTCCTTATTTTCAACAGTATCCGTTGCCTCTTTTCTTGTCTTTTCACCACTCACATGCGTGATTATTTCCACGTTGTGCTACTTGCCCACGGCTCGTGAGTATCAAAACTGGGATTGTGTGTGTGTATGTATGTGTATGTGTGTGTGTGTATGTATAAGTATTTCTACTTTGCTTGTCAGTTACTTCTTTTTCGGGGGAGGGGGGCACCACCAAGGAACTTAGAAATACAAAAATATCCCAGTTTTGATACCCAAGAACAGTCGCGCCTTTGACGCCTCTAATTGCAGTACTTTCTTATTTGTACACAGGCGCCCGCGGCGCCTCATAGAGATTGACGACAACACAGCCTCCTACAAACATTATATACGACGAGCGAACGCCGAACGAAGCCATCTCATAACATCCTCACAATGTAGGACAGTGTAGGAAAGGCCATGTGACTTGCCTCGGCATAAAAGGGAAGGAAAGGAACTCTCACCGTGCAGGTAAGTTAGTGATAAGTTCCGAAAAAAAGTATGTTCTCCCCTTCCCTTGTATGTCATCTTATCACATCTCGATCTTCTTATGTCTTGTGGTGTCGTCAGTGGCACCTTTCCGTCGTCCTAGATGATGGTGTTATACTGTGTCATCGAGGAGGCATGATACTCACAGTCCGTGGCGAGGGCGGGCGTGACTAACAAGACCCGCCAGCATTAAGTAAAGTCTTCCACAATTATAGTATGGGATTTCAGGACTGTTGTTGCAATTACAAATGTGGGCTCATCAGACGTCCAGCTGTCAATTTTTTCTACAATCATCCCCCTCCCCGTTTTTTTTATTCCTATTTCATCCCTGGTATTCCGTATCCACTCAATACAGCCTATGGCGTTTTGTTGCCATGATTCTACCTCAACAACAGTACCATTCATGGCCCACTTGCACACATATATATACATACCGTAGTAGAGGTTGGCCTCGACATCGTCATTCACCATAGAGAATGCCTTTAGGCACTCTACCATCCTCCATAGTCTGTGTCTGTGGCTTAGGCGTTGCGAACACGCTTTGTAATGCCGGGGTGTCGGGTTCGATCCCAGCTGCGGGCCATGCGCCTTGCGTTGGTTTCGACACTGGTATCGAGAAGCCGACCGTCCATAAAGCAATGGCAAACTACTGGACGTAAACTTGCCCAGGGAAAACCACAACAGCCAAAAATGCTGGGGTTGGTTCTGCAACGTCCTGTAAAGGAAACGCAACTAACTTTAACGATCCCCCTTTCTCTAAGTGTGACCCAGCCACCTGAATCTTCAAAGACAAAGAACAGAGACCTCTGTTGTAATACCTACTGTTTCAAATACTTCAGTGTTTGTGATTTTTGTCCCGCCACTGAATACCAAGTATTCTTCTTAGGCATCGCATGTGAAAGCTTTTTAGCCGTTTTTCGTAGTACGAATAAGTTGACTGAGTTTCTTTTGCAGCAAAGAAGACTGTTCAGAACACAAGCCTGACAGACAAGAGTTTTAATCATGAGCCTTCTGTTCTTTCAGACTTTTGTTAATCTTCTCGTTGCGATTGCCCTGCCTGTTCTGATATTGGAGGATCCCATGCGGAGTCTAAGTGAGGCATAAATTGCAGGAAAGTGTCCGTTCGTGTGTTTTATGTTATGTAATTCTTTTAAAGAGGGTTGATAAGGTGGCGGGGGTGTCCCTGGAGCTCTACTATTCTCCGTCTCATCGATTGCATGGTCGGTTTTTTTTTCTATTTCCACTTGGTTTCTACTTCATTGCTTTTTGTGGTATATTGTATGTTGGCAGGACGTTTAAATGACCGAACCACCTCATGTTTTGGCTAGTTATTATAACAGGTAGCTTGGTATGCTGTGATGCTCATGCGACAGCCATGCTCTAATATTGTATTTATATTCATTATTACTTTTGTTACCTCTGGGTATATGTTGTGAAGTCTGTTATAACTATGTGAGTTAAAACATAGGTAAGGGAGGTTCAACATACACCAAAATAAAATAAACAGCACCAAGAACAATACAAATAAAACATGGAATCATTACCTTAACCAACAGCTCACAGCAGTATCCAGATATTACAGGCGAATTACACCATTGACTGCTTGCTAACTGAAATCTGTGACAGCTTTATCTGGCAACAGCCCCTGTGTATTTTCAGTGGTTCTAAAATGATTTTGCCTTAAATTTGTCTTTTTATGTTCATCGTGTAGGTTAGTCCTTAAATAAACATAAAGTTGTTTTTAAACAGAATTGCTATCTTCCTGTGATGTGCTGCTGTAGTTTCGGCTATTTTATATTTATCTTTTCATGATCTATTTATAGTTTCTAACAGGTGAATTGCAGTTCACTAATTGCCACATTCGAGTGTCCCCCCCCCCCCCCCCTTTCACAGAACTGCTATTATCTGTGCCTGTCTAACTTGGCTGTACTGTATTTTTTTTTCTTATTACCGTTTTGATTTCTGTTAGAGATGTGTCAGTTAAGTGATTTTGTGTTTTCTTTTTTGTATCTGTGATATTGCACATTTATGTATATGCTGATGAAGGCTATTTAACCGCAATGTTCACTTGTCTTTTGTGTTTATGATACTTGGTGTCTCCAAAAGTGGTGTCCTGTCCACAACGCTTTTTCTGGTCTACATCAAGGTCCCAGTTTTCAAACTACATCATGCAATTAAAGCTGCAATGTATGCTGATGACTTAGTAATATGGTGTACCAATGTGTATGCAACAGTGGCCACCAGACTTCTACAAAGAGCCATAAAGGCAATGGCTGCAAAGGCCGATAAATGGTGTGTCAGCATCAGTATAGACAAGTGCAGCACCACCCTCTTCACTCCTACCACCTTAAAAAAACAAAAACATGCAGCTGTCATTTCCATGACTGGAATGCCTCTGAGAGAGGATGAGCGCATTTACCTCGGAGTCACGTTTGATGACAGGTTAACATGGAGAAAACATACCAGCAAGGCCGCAACCAAAGCCAGAACGAGGGTAAGTATCCTGAGAAAACTAAGTAAAACAACGAGGGGTGCTTGTGGGAAAGTCTACTTCTTTGTTCACTAAAAGTAAGATCCGGCTGAAAGTCCTGGTTTTCTCATAACCCCTTAAATGCTGTTCCAGAATGAACCCTATGGAGAGAGGAATATGTTTCCTCAAGACAGAAGTGAAAGGAGTGTTCGGCAAAGATGCACAAAACAGCATGAAGCGTAAAACAGCCACCTCGATTTACTCGACGATGAATACACGCAAAATCTTTGTGTTCGTGTCTACACAGATGGGTCAGCACAAAATGCAATTAGAAAAGGAGGAGCAGGTGTGTACATTGAGCACCCTACTAATACCAGGGTAACAGATAACATATCAACAGGAAGCACTGTCACAACTACGATGCCGAAGTTCAAGCCATCAGGACAGCAGCAGAGAAACTGCCGAATACCGGGGATATTTTACAACTAGTGGTATTCTTGACAGATGCAAAAGTGGCACTTCAGGCACTCCAATCTAAAAAATTACCAGGTATAAAGATACTACTCGCTGAACTAGGTAACCGGTGCAGGGTAACTATGCAATGGACACCGTCCCACTGTGGAGTTCCCAGAAACGAAAGAGCTGATAAACCGGCTAAGGAAGGTGCAACTGAAAAACAACCTGAGGTACCAGTCTCTTATCAACAGAAGACAAGAATAATGGAATCAATAAGAAAGTTACCCAAACTGACACAAGACGATTACCATATTATGGACAGACCAGAGAAAGTTATTATATTACGCTTTAGAACAGGACACAATCGACTTCGTAACCAAATGTATACAAAATGTAAAATCGGCAAATCAGCCATGTGTACGTGTGGACTGGCGCCAGATCACATCCGCCGAGACTGTCCTAAAGACAAAACTTATGTCCAAGAAAAAACACTGGTAAAAGCCAAAATTTACCTACCTCTAAGTGAATTACAAAAGACACTAGAGAAAGCATTGCAGATATAGATAATTTATTTCAAACTAACGAAGAAAGAAGAAGTAGTCAAACAACCTCTTCAACCCTGTAGACTTTCTCCTTAAACTTACTTCTTTAGGCATTTTATATGATTTCAAAGCTATTTTAGGCCACTGATTTCATCAGGCACAACATATCTGACGCCATACAAATGCAGTTTAAGACCCACTGTGCAATAAACATTGCTAAAAAAAAAAAACACATTATCTGGTGTGAAGAAAGCAGGAATGCCGCAAGTTTACATTCTATTGTGGCGGGGCACAAATTAAAGATAACACAAATAACGTCCTCACGTCCACACCATTGGTCTAAGAAAAAAACATTGCAAAAGGTAAGAAAAGGAGAAGATAGAAAATGGTAACTAAAAACTTGAGCATTTCAAAACCACTTACAATAAACAAACAAAAGACGTTCTGGAGATTAGCCTTCATCGACAGAAGAACGACACGAAAGACACTTACACACACACACACACACACACACACACACACACACACACACACGCACACACGCACACACGCACGCACACACGCACTTACCTGCACATCTCTATAAAGTATGAGCAGTGCGGAATGAA